AAAAAAAAAAAAAGTTAGAAAAAAAAAGACCTATACTCTGCCTCCTGCTGAGGACTGTAGCTCTCACGAGAGCAGGTGAGTGTCCCACTAGTGCCCACAGGCCCAAGTCAGGGAAAAAGCTAGTGACTTTGCTGTGAGGGGAAGCCAGAGGGATGCAGAGGTCCCTCAGCCGAGACACATCCTTGCTGGGACAGGAGCCTAGAATTGTTTCCTTGCCTTGCACAGCCCTGATCGAGTCCCTCAACCAGAAACCACAGACTGCCAGTGACCAACCCCAACCCACAGACACAACCCACGCCACTCATAGGAAGGCAGGTGGGACTGATGCCCCCTCGGCCAACGGTGAAGCTGGAGGCGGAGAGAGCAGTAAAGGCTACACTGCGGAACAAGTGGCAGCTGTGAAAAGGTAGCTGGCTTGGCTGGGTGGGTGGGGCTGGAGCCTGGGGCGTCAGGGAGGTCTGGGGAAGGCTTCCTGCAGTGTGTCCTCTGTGGCATGTTTGTCCACGGTCTGGATGGCGCCCTGACGGAAGGGTCTTGGAGGATGGAAGAGGCCTGAGTGGTCAGGCTCACCAGGACCTCTCCTTACTCTCTACAAGGCTTGGGGATAGTGTGGAAACCAGGGATCCACTGTCCCTCTGGCCAACACTGCCCACAGCAGAGGCTGGAATTGCTGACACTGCTGGCTTCCTCTGCTGCTGGCCAGGCGGGCCCCAGGCCTCTTCATACATCGCCGTTTATCAGACAGAGGTGGAGATTGGCCTTCCCCTCAAGATTCTCCCCCAGCCAGACCCTGCCCCCAATAAAGACCCTTTCAGACCAGAGCCTGTGTGGGGTAGAGTGGGACGGAATGCAGAATTATCTCTCCGAGGCTGTGGGCAGGCCCTTTGTGTAGCAGCTCACTACCAACATCTTCCTGCCTCAGCCTCCCAGGGTGCTGGGATTGCAGGCATGATCCCCCCCCCCACACACACACACACACACACAATGCCTGGCTGGGCCATCCTTCTGAGGTTGCCTCCAGTGGGGAGCTGTTAGCAGAAGAAAAGTGAACACTGGCCTGGCAAAAGGGCTGCCCATACCAGGCATTCTTCCTTTCTTTCTTTGGGATGCCACCCATTCTCTCCCTCCCTTTCTTTTACCCTCATCTTCTCTCCCTGCTCCCTTCTCTTTCTCGTTCTCATCTCTTCCCTTTCTCTAATATAAAATAAACTTACAATTTTATATATATATATAT